GGGAGACCCCACGCGCCAGCGTGGCACCACAGTGAGATGACGTGGAATCCCATGCGCAAAGTCGCTCCCTGATGCAGCCAGGTTGACTCAAGCAAGGCAGAATACCCCGTACAGCTGCTGGGTCGACGCTGCTTCGGAGTGTTGCTCTCGGCGGCTGACAAAAGCTTGGCCAACGACTTTTGTGTCAAGAGGAGCTGGCGACGTGGTTTTTCCCGATTGTCCGCGTCCGTCGCCGTCCCGGTGCAGGGTTGACTCATCAACAGCTGCCAGGTGCCAGCAGGCCGCGAAGACCACGTGGAACTTGGGCGAGGCACAACAGCCGCAAGAACGGCAGCGACAGGGCCACGCAGCCAGGCTACTCAGCGTTGAGATATCAAAATACAATGAAATGTATGCTTACCCTCAACTAGATTCACGCGTGCTCACCTTACCGTGTTTCCCTCACCCTTTGACGTCGGAAAGCTGTCCAATGAAATGAACTGAAAGCTCTACCGCAGAGAAAGCTCACATGACATATTGCCTGTTACGTTCCACAAATTAAGGACGCCATTGCCATGGTAACAAAAAATGTGGTATACTTGAAGAGGGAACGACACGTGCGAAACGAGCCAGCTCGCGAACGCTTCTATAATGTTTTGTAGCTTTACTGATCTTTCTCTTTGCAATTATGTATATATATTAACGCTCTTACATTTTTTTCTTTCAGTTCCTTCAAATAACGGCCCCGGGAGCGTCGCCGGCACGTTTCGTCCAGCACATGGCGTTCGGCGCATTCCTTGACAAGCTTTGCCGTTTTCAAGCTGGAAAAGTCGGAGAGCTTTATTCTCTGTCGCTTTGAGTAAAAAGCTATGCTAAATAAAAAAGAAATCCAATAGTAATTCTTACTTTGATGCAATGCCACGATCACATTTTGCGTTACACTTATCCAGTCATATGGCGGCAGCTTTCCGGCGTCATTTCCGCTCGCAGTAGTTCTGGCGAGCGCCAGTGTACGGATTATGCAGTCGTTGCCGATGTTTTCAAGTGCTAGAGGGTCCCTTTAAGTTGGCGCTGATTGTGTATGGCAAAGACGCTTATGAGTGTCCCATTTGTACGTTCTCGCAAACATAGAGTTTCTCAAAATTAACTAGAGGGAACTCTGGCGCTGCGATCGTTCAGCGACCATGGGAATTATGGGTAGTACACACATTTGCCTAGTCTTCGTACTTGTGGGCGGCGAATCGTACTTGCGGCTTCGTTTATTGCTGGTTACGGTTTTGTTTTGAAAGAAAGAACGAACCCTTTTAAACTTCGTGAGCCGATTTGGAAAGTAAGTCTAAAGAAATAAAATGGTGAAGCGCAACCGCTGAACATTTGCTGATTTTTGTTTCGTGAAAAAACAGCTACAAGCCACACGAACACACAGGGAGCCAAAATCAGGCCAGAAGTACGAAGTTCAGACAAATGGGTGTGCTACCCATCATTCCCATGCTCGCTGAAGGGCCGTGCGTTGCAGCTCCCACAGACACTAGCGCCAGAGTTCCCTCTAGTGTATATTGGGAAACTCAATGCTCGCAAGTACCGAAGAGTTCCGCGTTGCTCGATAGGCAAAGCATTACTTATGCTGACGTCACCTAGTTAGTGCATGTGGACGCCGGTAGTGCCGCACTGTCGTTTTAGAACGAGCGTTTCACGACCATTTTTAATATTCATAATAATATCTTGGGAACGACCCCGGCTCGACATCCACCCAAACCCAGATTTTTTTAATAGTTATTTTATTTGCATCTTTCTTGATTTTTCGGTCACACAAAGAAGATGATTTTTGGCTCACAACCAGCGACGCCGACACTACCGCCGGAATTTCTGCCAAACAAGCTCTTTAACGCTAGCGCGTTAATGCAAACCCGCTATCACGATCATGAGCATGGCGCACCTACCTTGGCTCATAACCATTCAGTGGTATCGGCCAAGAATTGATCATATGAATTTCTTAGACATTTCAAGTAATAAATATTGTTAAAAACACAACAAAAGCGTACTTCTGAGAACAGAAAAATAATGCAATAATTGTCTCTTTTTTTACCATTCAGATCACACCGTAGAGCGGCATAAGGGCAATTTCACTTGCTAGCAGCCTAACGATGAATGCCTTACCTTTCTAGATTTGAAGCTCACCTTGAAAAGCACGCATGTTCGCTGTGACTGGAAGCCGCGAGTGACGAATTGGCCGATTGACAATGCGAGGCATGTATTGCGCCTCACTCAGAGGTTGACCATATCATATGGGCCTGTCCCGCAGCTACTAACACAATAAAACATAACACATATCCGTCGTTTACTATCACCATGAACAGTGGGAGGCTATTCTATTCATCATGAGTCCGGAGGACCAGTTCTGGGTTGTCTGGCTGGCCGGAGACGCAGCCAGTAATCAAGGCCTAGCCACCGCCTGAGGAAGAGGTTTACGGAGGGGCCCGTCTTCCAGGCCCCCCGTAAGCACTTGAACCCTGAAAGGCCACTTGAATTTTCTATTTTTCTCTTTTGTATGAGTGTCCCATTCTAAGTTAGTCATAGGGGAGTCGCTATCCCCCGTATTCCAGAATGTCCCTTCACTAGGCGCTTCACCTCGACTTTAGAAAGTCGACGGGAACACCGTTCTCTGTGCAAAGCAAGTATATATACTCACTTCACATAAGCTGTAATCTTCAGTGATTCTTGAGGAGCGCAGCATCTTTTTCAGCTGAGCAGCAGTGCAGTGATCAACTCTGTCAAGTGAAGGACGAAACTTGAGTCCAGGAGTATTCGTTAATACGGGAGTGCGACATGTTTAAGGAACCACTAAGGAATACCCACCCTCACACAGTAGAAAGTAGCTTCCAAAACTAGGTAACCAGGCTGATGTAAGGGAGCTTTCCAATCAATATGGCTTCCAGCATTTCAGATAAGCTTCTTAAAAAGCTCAAATAGGAAGGGTGGGCGGGTAGCAACGAAAAACTTTATAATAGAAAAGGGTGCATGTTTTCCGCTTTCAGCATAGGGGTTCGTGCAGTCTTGATAAAGTTACACAAGGACATGACGCAAATCCTGTTTTTTTTTTCATTGCTCTGTGTAACTTGTCCATGGTTTGCCCAATGTGAAGCAACGTAAATCTGGATCCCTGCGCATGGAACACATGGTACATTTCACTCAGTGCAAAATAAGACGTATACGAAGTTCCCTTGAGTTTCAACAAGGTGTAGATAGGACAAACGAGGCGCTGCTTGAATGACAGGGCGTGACAGCACAACTGGAGGGTAAACAACTGCGCGGGCGAGCATACGGCAGATCACTGTAAGCGTGAAATTTGTCGTCTAATCCTTGATCAGAGCAAATTTTCTGCACGACTCGGGGACAGACAAGAGAGCGAGATCCTCGAAGTATTTCATATTGCGCACGCAGAAGGCACGTGCGTTAGCTGTGCGTCAATAACACTTGAAGAAATAGATTGCCTTTATGCCACGACAGAGCCTCAGTAAATGAGTCAGCACGGTGATACTGCCTTTTCTTTTTTTGTGTGCGTGTATAAACATCCGTGTTTCTTCAAATGAAACTCCACGAATGAAATCGCTCCTGTTAGTTCAAAGCGTTTTCTCTAGTCTTCTCGGTTTTTTTTCGCGCAGTATATTTTAATCAGTATTTAGGATAACATTGACAAAATACAGCATATATAACCAGCTGGTTGGGCACCTTCAATGCGTTCTTTGTAGCCCTTAACGTACTGTCTACCTTCAGTGTGCCATTTCATTTAAAAATGTTCACCGGTAATCTATATTCTCCTCTCAAGAAATAATCAGTGACCCAGCACTCCAAGCTTGCGCGCATAGCGCGTGATCGATGGTAGGAATTCAGTGGCGTGGCCAGGGGGTGGCACTACTGGCCCGTGCTCCGCTCCCTACCCCTCCCTCTGCTATAGTGCCCTATCCATGTCCACCGCAGCGCCCTCAGCGCGAAGAAAGTGGAATAAACGTGGTTTCATTCATTCATTCCCCAAATGTTTTGCTATGCATAAATAGCGCATAATTACCGGCTCCCATTATAGATCAAGAAGCCCCTGCCCCCCCCCCCTCTTCCCCCAGAAAACATTTCTGCATGCATTCCGGGTAAACCCACGTTGTAATGAACGAACACAAAGACACTTAATGACAAGGGTGGTCTGGACGCCGGTGCAGGCTATGGAATCCAGTTTTACACTGATAATGACCACTCAGGACTGCGATGCTGGCGTTAGGTTCCTTTATGTAGGGGAGCAGGATCAGAACAAGCCAATGAATAGCGTCATCTTGGCGTGCAGCTGCAGGAACAAAATGTATTTCTTCTGCAGGGCCCTCAATCTTGCTTCAGTGAGCGGGTCTCAGTCGTGAAATTCAGCCCCACATGTTTGCGAGTACAACATGGCAGCAGAAAGCACAGTACTCGCCTGATTGGCGGAACACGGCATAGGCCTTTGCGCTCATGGAGGAAGAAAAATGTTGGCGCTACAGTGGGCCTAGTTGAGATGATGATGGTAATGATGATTATAATGATGATTATAATGATCATGATGACCGAAAGGGTGCGACTGGTCTTAGTGCTTGAACCACTCACTTTTGTCTAATGAAACATATATGGGATGGGGGCAGTCACGTGCTATCCGGTCCTCTTCCGAGAGGTCCGCAAGCCACGTCTCTGAGACTCCTGTAATAGTGAATTCCACAGATACTTTGACACTTCCTAGCAATGTTTGACATATTTTCTATGAATTGTTAGTCAAACGTTGAAGCAAAAGTGAAAATCTAAAAAAAAGTTATATATTTCTTCGATGTTGATACTGAAACCGACAATGTTAACCGAAGTCGTATTCACTTATTAGGGATAATAGTGTAGAGTGAACGATAATTCGAAGTGTCATCGTAGCTAGATAGAGAAATCGCGCTATTTAAGTTATTGGTAAATGTAACATTGGTTTTTGCTATGCTCCAGAGAAGTTCCGGAAAGCGAACATGCTACTGCTTTTCAAATATCCGCGGGACAAGCACTCACGCATGGCCTTGCGTTTGGTGCTGATAGTCCTCAACAGAGGCCGCCCCTGTGCAGCGTTCAAGGTTGGCGCAAATTTGATTGCAGTCTGCGTACATTGGGCAGGTAAACTCGGCGGACGGTGGCGTTGCGAAGGCCAAAGGAAACTTAAATTCGTCGGTCACATCGTCTCTGCCGGCTGCGTTTGTGAAGCCAGCGTGAACAAGCACAGTAAGTACGACGCACTTCTGCTACGTTTCTTGTTCAAAAAACGACAGTGGTGGTTCTGCGGATGGTAGTCGCGCGATGAATGGAGTGATTCCGCGACGGTTCGCCGCGCGCGTAGCGCTGTTCGTTTTGGCTGCTGATACATGTTCTTCATCAAATTTACTAACGACTAGACCAGTACAGTAGATGTTACGCACGTTCTGAGCCGCTTACAAGTATGGAGTGATCGCAATTCGACCGATAATTGCTCATACTTGGCCATTGAGTTTGCAATGCTCTTGCGACTGAGGAGCTTCTGCCATCTGGCGTTTAAAGCGCTGGAGCGATTGTTAAAGCCTATCATTGGCGGCTGTAGATGGCGGTGCTGGGCCTGAAAGCAGCGTGGCGGCAATTTCAAATTCGTGTAGCTACTGTTTCGTCGTAACGCGTGTGCGTACTTGTTACTGCCAGGAACTTGAAACGATACAGGATTATGACGTTTAAGTGCTTATACTTCCTAGTGCCGAATAAATTGTGGTACTGCTAAACGTACCATGAATGCAGTTGTCTGCTAGGGCGCGCGCCGTTTGTAACCTGTAGAAATCGTACTCGCCTGCATTTGCGCTTGCGGAACATAAGACATTTCCCTTATATTTGCAACTATGTGTGACTCATAATGAATGTGCACCGGAACGTTGAAGTATGTTTGGCACATATAACAGGTCAAATAATTGCTAAATTTCTTTCAAAAAAATGAAGGAGCACTAAATCAAGAAGATTTCTGGAAGAAAAGGGGTGTGAATGAACTTGAGCTCTAAATTAAGATAAAAAAGATTTGGGTAGGGAAGGCGGTGTGAATGGGCTTTTCATATTGTAAGCCGGTCTTTCTTCCTCCTCCAGATTTTCCTTCCTACAAGATAGTGTGGGAAGGGAAAGGTGGTATGAAACTACCCTAATTTTTACATCCATTTGTTTCTCTCTGAGTTGAGCAAGCGCGCAACGATATAGAATTGTGAGAATATAACAAGGAAGCCATACTTATAGCTTGCTTCCAGTACCTCGAGCGTTTCTATTTAATGATATTGTCAGGCATGACCGTGTTTGGAAAGCCGCTCGGGGATCTCGTGGAAGCAACGCATTCTCACTTTAAGCTGACCACTCGGCTTAGAAAACGTGGCAGTGAATATCTATACTATATATGTGTGCACAATTCGGTCATTCGATGTGGATTTCTATGAATTGGACTACGGTGTTAGCGAAATTATATATAAAGAAAAGATTAGTGAGACTACAGAATGCGATGCTTCCATTGCAGGTCTCCTGCAGAAGAAACACTGCCTTGGAACTCGCCGCTTGTGAATAGCTGATGTGACAGTGAATAACAATACTGTAAAGGAATAGAAGCACATCAAATTTGAGGACATGGATCCAGTCGAGCTGCGCATAGAAGTGCCCTATGGTTTTCTCGCCGCTAAAGTCTGGGGTCCCGCTGACGGCAAACGCGTCGTCGCATTGCATGGATGGCTGGACAGCGCCGCCACCTTCGACACGTTGTGTCCCCTCTTGGACTCCTCCTTGAGGATCGTCGCGCTAGACTTCGCGGGCCACGGCAACTCATCGCACAGGCCTCCAGGTTGCCGGTACAACATCCTCGAATACGTCATCGATGTTCGCCGTGTCGTTGACCACTTGAAGTGGGATCGATTCTGCATTGTTGGTCACAGTATGGGCGGCAGCACGGCTATTATGTTCGCGGGACTCTTCCCGGATCGCGTGTTGTCCCTGATCACCCTGGACGTCGTGGTTCCGACGGTGATCGTTGACTCAGTACATCGGTTCGGTGATCGCGCATGGCATCAACAAGTTCCTGAAGCTGGAACCGTTGACGAAGAACCCTTCCCCCGTGTACAGTGTGGATGACCTGTTGGAACGACTCGAAAGTGCAAGTCCCGGGCAGCTCAGCGAGAAGTCGAAGAAAGTCCTTCTAAGCCGAGGCACGCAGTCAGTGGAATGCGGATTGGTGCTAAAGAGGGACATACGTGCTAAAACGGGCAAGACGTTCGTCGTACCGTTGGAGACTCAAAAGGCTATCGTGTCCCGATACAAAGGGGACATGCTCATCTTCCGGGCCACTGACGGCGCCTCAGTTCAACAACTGCAAAGATTTGGATGCGAATTTCATTAAGTCGTACAAGAAACACTGCAAGAGGTTTGAGTATGTCGAGCTGCAAGGTGGCCACTACGTTCATCTGAACCAACCTGAGCTTCTGGCTCCTGTGATTAACCGCTTTCTTTGCCTTTCTGAACTCGGGAAAGCGCGCCTGTAATTGTTGCCAGCGTTTTCCGTACCTGTTCAAACCTGGATATTGGTGACAATCCATTTGCCACTCCTGACACAGGTGAACTTCGTACAAGCTGCACTTTCGTGGAGGCAGTATTGTGATTCGACAGTTTTGCCTCGCGTTTGATGTAGTTCTCAGTGCCTGAAGAGATTTATTTCTGAAGAGGTTTTTACGCGATCAAAAATTGCCTTTTTGATATTTTTGATAGGTGATATTAACTTTTACGCAGTATTAAGGGTCGTATTGTCATGTGGGCCATTTTGATAGGTATGAAATTGCGCGAGTTGCGTTTTCCGAAAAACCGCTTATCTAAAAGAATTGGAACAACGTACGCGAAGTTTTGTGTTAGCATTTTTTTGCCGCTGCAGATACGTCACGCGCTATTCTCTCGTGGGCCCCCGTTAGGTGACTGAAAGAGGGGACGCGCCCGTAGCGGCCGAAACCTATCTTTGCCTACGCGATTCTAAAACTGCCAAGTAGGGAACCTTGGTTTTACATAATATTGTTAAGGTGATAGTAACTTCCTTTTTATAATGCGAATGCAGTACCTAATCGGGCTATGTCAGTCATTCGGCGTTGTCCGCGGTGGTGTTCGCACGCTGGCAGGTGTTATCCGTGTTATCTCTCCTCGCTCACTCCCTCTCTCATAGCAACAGCTGCGCGCTTATCCTCACCCCAAGCAACCGGAGCATGTGGTGTGAGTGAGAGTGGTGGTGGTAGTGGTTAGAAGATGAGAAAAGGCACCTAATTTCTGCAACCCGGTCGGGAGCACGGCGCAGTGCCTGCGGGGAAGGGAAAATGGAGAAAAGTGGAAAGAAGAGGTAAGAGTCTAAGAGAGAGTAACTGCAGTTCATCGCGGCTCCTTCTCTCACCGTTCGCTCTCTCTCCTCTCTTCCCCCAACTCTCCCGTCCGCTCGCGCCTCACTCTCGACCGTTCGCTGGCTTGGCGCTATGGTGGCTAGAATTTTGGCGCCTCTCAAGAACATCCGGAAATGTGAGCTCGAGACTGAAACGCCGAGCCAAGCACGCTGGCGCACCTCTCTCCCATTCGCTGGCTGGGCGCCTTTCAAGGCGATGGCAGACGTCGGCGAAGGCGAATGTCTGACGGCAATGGTAGCCTCTCCTGGCGCAAGAAATGCATTCGCTTTTCCTCACAATTCTCTTCGGGGAGGCGGGGGCATTTTTCTTTCATATTACTGCGGGGGGCAATATTACGGGCGTTACTAGCGCCATCGGTGTTTGCGTCGTTCAGTTGCCCTGTTATTGATGCATGCAGTGAAAGCGTGCGGAGGACTGGAATGACCACACCTACACGAAGTGTATTTGACTTCCAAAGGCGCTGAAACACAGTCTGTGAATGAGCTCTGCTGGAGCTGTGGCAGCTTTGTAGATTCCACTGCTGATTGAGTGTTGTGTGCACACACGTGAGCGTTCGCGCGTAATAGCTGCGTTGCAACGATAACGGGGTTAAGGTCAACCTCAACGGACGCCCGCGCGCGCTTCATTCTAAACGTTACGGTTTTCGCATAGTTCGCATTGCGTACTAGCTACGGCTTACTCGTCAGCGGCAGCGCAGTGGTGCTGTGACGCAGAGCTTGAGGTCACAACTTCGATGTTGGCCGTGGCGGCTGCATTTCATTAGAAGTAAACTGCAAAAGCACCAGTGCGCTTGCTTAGTACAATTAAACTTAAGCTCAATAAAAAATCGCAGCATATCCACCCAGTGAATGATGGTGAGTGGAACGAACTGTCCGTCCGTCCGTGCGCTCGTCCGTGCATCCGTCTGTCCGTCCGAGCGTCCGCCCGCCTGTTTGGCTGGTGACACTACGCCGTGGTCAGTCCGCGCCCGCCGCTCCGCTTAGTCCATTCCCCAACAACAATCCGACACTTACGGAATCGATCCAGGAGACTGTGAGGGGCACTTGTTCCCCGCGCAGCAGCCTATTGAAGAGTAAGGGTACAGCGCCATCTAGAATATCCTCACTCAACTGCAGCTTGTATGTACTTCTATGAGACAGCGTCATCTATTATAATGTTGCTGAGATACTGCCGGTTACGCCTGACGCGAGACGAGGTTTGACTCCATACGTCAAAGTTCCCTCTATACGTCATATCTTGAATGGTCGTTTGTCGCGTAAAACACCACAATATGAAAGACGCGTCGCGCAAACGTTGTTACGCCTGCGGCACAAAACAACGGGTAAATTTCTCTTTAAATGATTCGCCTTCGAGCGTTAATGGTAAGTGTTAATGAAATTAGTCGTTAATCCTCCTAGGCAGCTGGTATTTGGACGAAGGTTTTATACCCTAACATGAAGAGCATCACTTTCTCAAACGTAGCATATTCGCGGCATTCCTTTTGGCTGTCGTTTTGTGAATTATCACTAAGCTAATGCGATTGTAATATTCCCTTCTTTCTTTAGCTATGGCTTTGTGACATATTGTGACCAATAAAAGTACTGGTGCTACTCGCAGCCTAAAATGCAACAGAAATGCGCTTTCCTTTAACACTAGGAAAACCTAAAGTTGAAATGGTGCATTTCAAAACGTAGAAGTTATAGATGTAGTAGCGAGGTGATCCAGAACTATAATAAGCACTGGTCATGTAAAATACCTCTGCAGTTTGCGCATTGCGTGGGGTTGTCAGTAGCGTTAGGAATCAAGCGAAAGCGTACCCGAGTAGCGTGCTTTTGTCAAGATCCCGAGTATTGATCACGGAGTTGCTAGTGTCTCTGGGCTGCTGCGTTTTACAAGGAGTCGGCTGGCAGCCAGCTATCAGAATGGTAAGCTGCCCAGTTGCTATAACTGGCTGTGCCTACTTTTGAAAAGTCGGAGTGGGCTGTTGTATGGTGGGGAAGCATGACAAAGTGTCTTTACGTTTCGTTTTGCATCTGTACAACTTGAAAAGTTAGGCTCTATGTGCGTAACCTTCTGCTCTATAAACTTGAAGTGCATTTACTCGAAATGAGCTGAATGAATCACCACAAATATTAGCTTGTTGAGCTCCTTAGGATGATAATATCTAGGTTGCTTAATCGCGCACGAAATACTCCGGCTTCGTCCATTTGCTTTTATTCTGATTCTCTTTGTGCTTCCACGGTTTGCTAGGTGCCGTACTGTGATAACCCATCAATATACTTGTAAGCATGGCTTATAATGCTCTGTGTAACTTAGCTGGGTATGGCAGCAATAAACGAATTTTTCACCCTCTTTCAGACCATTGTCAATTTGTCGCTGTGACAAAGATATAGGGGACGACTCGGTGTAGTCACATTTAGTCCGTCCATCCTTCTCTAGAGCACAGGCACGGACAACTGCATTGTGGACCATTCATCTAGTCATCCCCAGCCTCACAGTGCTAAAAACCTTTTTACATTAATGCGAATGAATGTTGCACACGCTGAGCTTCAGCGATATTTTGGCTTTGCATATATCGAAATAAGGATTTTCTTTGCTGATAGTGTTCTGTAAGAATTCTTGGAACGCCAGGAAATATGCCGACGTAGTCAGCTAAGGTATAAGACTGGAATATAGTTACGTTAGAAATCTTGAATATTTATATTTCTGGGAAGAAAATGAAGACAAGAAAATAACATGAACATGGGACGTATGGCAGGTCGAAGTGCTCACACTGTGTGTGTTTTTAGTTGTGTGGATAAGTTGTATAATGTTTCTAATTGATAAAAGCGTGTATACCGCATCAGCACAGGTGGCTGACCGAGAGCATCTCACATCCTGCGAAGCTGTTAACATGAATTGTCCATCTAGCTCGGAGGAACACTAATATGATATATATTCATTATGGGTTCTCAGCATTAGAACGAAGGTAACTGAAAGCAGGGTTGGTAAATTGGGCTAGTTGGCACTGATTCAAAGTGTAGCTGCGAGAGAAAAAAAACAACAACGGATGGGAACGCAAATAAGAGGGAATCACAGAGAGGCGCACACTATCAACTGAAGCACTGTTACAAAGTAATCGATGCATCTCTACCAAGTTAATGATAACGAGTAGGCTTAGTTATAGGTCCTAAGATACATAATGTGTAGGTTGAAGTCGCCGAATAGTATAAATGACGGACGGCGCTGGTGTACCTTTTTTCACAGCTGTGTAGTAGGCGTTGTAATAGGAGTGTGGATGCCGGCACATCGCCGGACAGGGCTAGCCCGTTTGGAGCTTCGTCCATAAAAGAAGCGTCAGTTCAATTGATAGTCTGCGCGTGTTTGTCTTTCCTCTTCTTTTGTGTTCCCGCACGTTTTTTTTTTGTGCAGTTGCATTTGTTTTTCTATGGCAGCACTGTGAAGGCAGGTACGTGTGTGTCAGTGCTCTTGGTGACTAATACCCCTGCACCGAGTTTTCTCTTTAAGTCGACGGAAGGGAGGGCATATGACGATACCGCTATAAAACCAGACGTGGCTCAATCGGGGGCAACCAATTTTTTTTTAAGTGTGAATACACTTTATAAGCGACCCCAAACCATCCACGGCCGTCGGCGGCGTCCGCAGTCTTCTCTCTTTCTTTAAAAGAAAGAGGACTTGGCGGGCCGCAGCGCGACGCTCTACCGAATAAGCCACGGACGCGACGCTGATATCCCCCTTCGCTCGCTCCTCCGCTCTCCTCGCTCGCTGCAGCTGCGCGCGCACCCCTCTCTCTCGCGCGCCCGCCTTCTCTCTCAGTCTCCCGTCGAGAGCGGATCGTGAGGGGAAGTAAAGTTAAAATCCGTAAACTCCCCCGTGTGATCAAATTGCGATTCCCAGGAACCATTACACCATAAAGGCACCATAGTGTGAATAATAAATATAATAGTGCGAATTAATAAATACCCCTCATAGCATCACCCCGTGTATTCGCACTGTTTACCCTCGGGGAAATGCTCGGGAGTTTTTACATTTATGCAAGTTCTTAAATGCGGTGACAGATCACCCTCCACAATTTTGTTCTGTTCTCTGTATATATAAGCAAATGCAGGGCCTGATGAAGCTATTTTCGTTAATCAAGAGAAATAGGAACAAAAAAATGCTGTGGTTAAACACGTTGAAAACAGGTTTGTCGAGCGATAGCCTGTTCTTGCTTGCTGTGGGAAAGGATGAGACTACTGGTTTGCAGGGATTGACTTCACTGCGCGTTTTGGTTTCGGCAAGGACGCTGAGAAGTCTACGCGCTTCGACAACCCGCCGTGATAAGAGGCACCTTGTTGCACCACAAAGGAGCATGCAACCACCCGGTGCCATCGTGGGTGGGGCCCCTAGACAGTACCCCCTGACGGGGGCATTCTCGTCTTCTCAGGACCAAATGAAATCGGTCGGTCGGTCGGGATACCGACCGACCGACCGACCGACCCTTAGACAGTACCCCCTGACGGGGCATTCTCGTCTTCTCAGGACCAAACTAAATCGGTCGGTTGGTCGGGATACACCGACCGACCGACCGACCGCCCCGCCGCGGTGGTCTAGTGGCTAAAGTACTCGGCTGCTGACCCGCAGGGCGCGGGTTCGAATCCCGGCTGCGGCGGCTGCATTTCCGATGGAGGCGGAAATGTGACCGACCGACCGACCGATAGCGATAGCGATATCTCCAAGGTACTCGGCTGCTGACCCGCAGGGCGCGGGTTCGAATCCCGGCTGCGGCGGCTGCATTTCCGATGGAGGCGGAAATGTGACCGACCGACCGACCGACCGATTGATTTATTGATTGATTGATTGATTGACTCTATGCTTGGTGCCGTCGGCACTACATGATCGAACGAGCGGTCGACATAGCGTCCAGTTTGGACATCGTGAAGCGAGGCAGGTTGTACAGCAGTAGAGGAAGAACGCGGCATTGTTACAATCTTTTAGTCACATTGTGTAAATTACTACGTGTGTTAAATTAAGCAGAATAGAGCAGCACCGCTTTGTGCATGAGTTCGTGTCTCCTTGTGCTGTATTTTAAGACGTTCGCACTTGGAGATATCGCTATCACATCTTTTTCAATGCCCAGCGCACTGATAGCCTTCTTGAGGTAAGAGAGGGCAAGTAATCGTTTCGATCAGTGGTCAAACGAGATGCTACACGCCACAGAAAGCGACGCTATCGCCGAAAGTGATCGTCTCGGAGCAGTGTTCCCTCACACTCGCTCTTGGTTTCATGCGTGGCGTGCGGAAACTGGTAATTGTGCCGAGGTCAGTACGCTCTATTGGAAGGTGAATCACGTTTCTTTGTGTCCCGCCGTCTCTGGTCTTCTCGCGCAGACATGCCTTCCGAGTGCACGGAGACTAAATTCACCATCCCGTATGGCCACCTGGCTGCCAAAGTGTGGGGCGACCCGGCACACGCCACCACCCGCGTCCTGGCGCTGCATGGTTGGAGGAACAACGCCGGCACCTTCGACACGCTTATTCCGCTCCTCTCGTCAGGTTTGCACACTGTTTTTACTCTCTTCAACTTGTTTTATGACGTACGAAAATGAACGAGGAAGAAATATACGTCGCAATGTCGGATGGTGTTTGCCGTTATGTTCTGGTCGTGCTATCCTGCAGTGTAATATGCTTAGAGAAACTCTTGTCCGTGCATGGCTTCTTCGTTGTGGGCACTCGGCTGCTGACCCGAAGGTCGTAGGTTCGATCCCCGCCGCAGGGGTCGCATTTCGATAGAGGCGCAATGCCAGAGCCCCGTGAACCGTGCGATTTCGGTGCACATTAAAGAGCGCCAGATGGTGAAAATTTCCGGAGCCCTCCAGTACGACGTCTCATAATCATATCGTGGTTTTGGGGCACAAAATGCTAGATATAATTCCGTTGTGTGCGTTGCTAGAAATGACAGAGGCAAAGGTTCTTTCGTTGAGGGACAAGATTTACGCCTGGCTACTGATAGGTGAAGCATGCTGGTTACTCTATATATAGGTATGCCCGCGAATAGCGTTTCAGCTCACTCATAGAACATGCATCGAAATCATAAATTAGTGTGACGTACCTATTGAACCGACATTGCTTTTAGCAAATCCTTCATTTTTACTGCTGCTCCGCTTTTTTTTTCTCTCTCCAGATACATACGTCGTTGCTCTGGACCTGAGCGGTCACGGCCTGTCGTCGCACAAGCCGGCCGGCTGCAGCTACAGTTACCACGAGTACGTCATGGACGTGTGTCGCGTCGTGCAGCAGCTAAAGTGGGAGCGCTTCTGCATCATGGGTCACAGCTTCGGCTGCACCGTGGGCATGATGTACGCCAGCTTTTTTCCGGACCGCGTCCAGTGCGTCGTGGCGCTGGACCTGTACGCGCCGCTACATGTCCCCCGAGAGCGCCTCGCCCAGGACACCAGCAAGTTGATTAGCAGCTTCCTGCACCTCGAATCCAAACTGAACCAGCCGCCGTCCTACACCGAGGAAGAACTGCTCAAGAGGCTGGACGAAGCGACGCTGCACACTCTGAACAAAGACACCATGAGGATCCTCATGGTGAGGGACGTGCTTCGCGATGACGGCAAGCTGACGCTGCGAACGGACCCAAGGACCAGAGCCATCAGCACGGTGCTGCTGGACGCGGATTTCCAGTACACGCTCATGGAGAAGATCCGCTGCGACCTGCTCATGGTAACGGCCTCGGAGATCGACGAGCGTATCATGCGCCAGAGCATGGACCGTTTCTTCGCCCTCTACGAACGCTGCTGCCCCCGCTTTAAACACGTCGAGGTCGAGGGCAACCACTACGTACACCTCAACCATCCAGAAAGAGTCGCGCCGGTGATAAACGATTTTCTGGCCAATGTGAAGTCTGTGTAAGGGAACGTTTTAAGCGGCGGAGGGGAGAAGAGAAAATTTTAGTGTCGTGGCTCGCTGCACATGCTGCTGTGTCGTAGATTAGACTGAAAAAAAAGTATTAAAAAACAGACAGCTGAGGAAAAAACGCTTAAGGAGGTGGGGCCTAGAGATTGCGCATGCGCTGGGACGAAATTTGCGGCTAAGTGAACTTGAACTTTTGAAGGAAGGAGCATCTGTGGTTAATTGAACACACAATTCTAAAGAAAATTACGCATTCGAGCATTGGTCTTTCAGCATTGTTACGTTTTTCGCGGCACCACTCTAGTGCGTTCTCGTGTTTTACATCGCTTTTTTTTTTGGCGGTATCTTAATAGAAGCTTTGCTTATTCTCCGCACTTAACCTATGAAATGGCGGCTGGCGTTGTATTACTGACGCTCCAAGATCTTTTCTTCGTAGCAATGTTACAGTAATGTATGAGCCGTGAACGTCAAAAAAGAAAATGGGTTTTGCTAGCGAATGCATAGCAATATTGCAGGCATCATTCATGGACTTTTGTAATAGGTGGCGCTCGCTTTCCATTTTCGCGTCGTTACTTAGTGAGTGAATGTAGGCGTACAAAAGATATTTGCCATTTAACAGGTCTCAAGTGCGGAATGCAATAAGGAATTGATCGAAATTGAAGCCGTGGAGTTTTTTTTTTCTGTTTGGTTCAATGCTTTTTTTTTTGTTGCAAATTATACACCAAGGAACTAGTCTTTCCTCTTTGCATGTTAACTCACATTTTTCACTTTATAGCAGGACTATGATGTTTTGTTCGGTTTAATTACACCTATGACCAAACTAAGTTCATATCACCTCTACCTCGTGATTTGCAACTCGCAAGATCATGAGTTCTCACTGAGGTTCCTACTTGGCACTTTTCCGCCGTCCAGCTGGTCTCTAGATTGCCAGACGGTGGAAGACTTGTCCACAGTTCAATTGCCTTCGGCGTTTAAAACTTGTGTACTACCGCTGTATTTAACCTGCATAGGGCTTCTAAGTTGCATAGCGCCGTAGCTGTCTTACCAAAAAAAAAAAACACTCTATGCCTCTAGATTACCATGTGCACCATACTTTTGGCCTCAAAACAACTGACATAAACTCGAAAATTGAGCGATTGAAATATTTTGCTCATGTTTACTTATGAAGGAGCGCACGGAAACAAGCACAAAAGGAACGAAAGGGACCGCGCTGCTTCAAAAGTAGAGATGAACTATCACAAACCCGACCACCTTTCAACGTTACTAAATTATTTTGCTGTTATTTACTAGTAAATTATTGACGAGTATCACCAGACTAATCCACATTATATTATATGTCTAGCTTTTGCAGAATGTCGCACGATAATAATATCGTAGGGTTGGTGTTTTCATCACCATCCCCGCGGTGTGCTGGAATGTTAATAACTGTCGCAACGTTTGTTTTTGTTTTGTTTTGTTTGTTCACTTTTTCAACATAGATTTACGTGCTTGTTATTCATCAGACTATTCAGTACAGGTTATGAATTTTTTTTCCTTTTTTAAAGCTCAGGAACTGTCTCACTGATGTTTGAGCCATGTTCTCAAGAAGTCCTGAGCGCACGTCGCAACCATTTCGGGGAAAATTGCACCTACAGTGCGCTTTTTATATCTAGTACTGCATTTACTGTTGCATTTACTACCTGAAGCTATTCTCTGAGTTCTGTATTAGTGTATAGATCGAGACATGGCTGTGAAAACGTAATGTGTAGCATTATAATTTGTTGCAAAATTGTATGAACATGCCTGTTAACCAGGAAGCGACACTTCTATTGACACACTCTTGATTTTGGGCATTTACGCACAGAAGTCGAACATACCAATCTCATTTATTCCACATTCCTGGAGCTGCAGTGTCTCGTTGAAAAGCGTCCAGTGTGGTTACTATTCCGTGGCTTGTGTGTACGATATCAGAAACGCGTTTATCGAGGGCAATGTACTAGCGCGTGTTTAAAGCCACCATTTTGTTTTGCGATAGGAAGATATGATTGTTGTTGTGATGATGAGTGTTGGAAAATGAGGATATGATTGAAAATACTCGTCAAATCTATGTCTGCCACCATACTAGCGCTGGTAGTGTTGCTAAATTAAGCTTTTTTCTTTACAACGTGTGTATGTCCCGTGTTTTGAAGCGCTTGTCTTGTAGACTTGAAGCTCTTGTATAATTTATGATTATTGAGATTTCAATTATAGCTTGTTCATATTTTCTGCTAACGCGTCGCGTTTTAAGCTTAATTTTTAATGCATGTGTAATAATTGACAGTCAGTTTTTTTCGTGTTATTTCGACGTCATATGTACGTACTATTCCGGATGGGTGATACGGCTGCATGTGATTACCTTCATTTTATTCCTACCGGGCCCTAATGATATAGCCACTTGGCGGCAAACATTATAGACTGACTAAGGCACAACCATGTTGTTTCCACATACCTTTGCAGGCCAGTACGCACATGCTCGAGACAGGGAAGTGTTGTTAAGTGTATTTGAATCAACAAACGGATGGAGGGGCCTTAGGTTCAAATGCGTAAATACGTTTTCCTGGGTCCTCGTGTTGTACCTACTGAACATTTGATTGGCCAGGGCAAAAATGGTCCGGCCACCATTCTTCCACTTACCTTTGCAGGGTGCACATTCCTTGGACGCAGAATCGTCGGCAACTATATGCAAATGGACGAATGGAATTACGGGTGGTAGGATGAGTTGCGTGAAGGTAGATCTTTTACAAGAGTTAATAACAAGTATGGGTTGGTCAAAGGTACAGAAAGCTGTGATTCTCTCCGGAGAGCGCACACTCGGAGACTGCCAGTTTTGTCATGGCGGGGCCAGTTCTTTGTCAGTATGTGTTTGACCTTGTTGGAGCGCGCTGTCTTTTCCGCGAGGCACTGTCACACTCGCCAAGGTGCGTATTTGTTCAATAAACAACCTTTGGTCGCTGATGTTGTCTGAATGAACTGTGGGATCCTTATCGAGAACAAGGCTTATTTCATAGCTGCCTTGGATTTTTCTGTATACCCAGTATAGCGGAAGTTATTGCTCTTTGAACACAGTAAAGAAGCTAAACCAATTGCGTTACTATAGCGTGTCCAGTAGAACACGATGTGGAATTGAGGAATCTACGGACGTGGTTCCGCGACTGTGTATTGAGCAAGCTTTCTCGCTTTTGCCGGGAACGCTCATCTACGGGGTTTTGCGAGGAAAGCCTCAGCAAAAAGGCACATTCGAATGAACTGAAAGGCGTCGGCGGCGCAGTGCCGTGAGACGCCCCATACAGCGACGTTGACCCGACTTCGACCGGACGTCGGCGCCATGCCAAAAAGGAGAAAGCAAGTTCCTCTCGCTTCCAAAAGCTGTCGAGTTAAAGCTTCATGGTGATCATACGCTATAATAAGCGAAGTTAAGAAAGCTGAGAGCATTACATAGCATTCGAAATCCTCAGCGTAGGATGCGTATGTCAAAATGTCATTTAGTTTTGTCCTTTATTTTGTTTTTTTGTCCAAGTTATTCCACCAGAAACAGCAAGTTGGAATCGTCGCGAGCGGCGCATTCACTTTCAGCTAATACTGAAGAACAACGTTTTTCCCGTTTTAGTAAATTGAATTTCAAGAATACGAAAAGCAATTTTCTGAAATGTAATGCATTGTACTCTATGAATGACAGACTGAACGGGCAAACTTTGAGTAAATATTGTTAAGTCATTGAAGCAAAAAACACGAAAGCACACATTCCAATCAGTGGTGTCACGACAGTGTGCAGAGGCTTCAACATGAAATTTATTTTCATTATATTTTCTTCTATTAGTAAACTAGCGACAGTACTGTTCTGAAACAACAAATAATTAGCCACTCATTGTTTCACTTTACTGCTCCTCTAAGGGTTCTAATGTAGCCTTTCGCAGGAAACCACCGCGTTCCCCGGTCATGTTGGTTAAAAGAAAGTAAGAGAAATCAAATTAAGAGGCTTAGGGAGTTGGCTGAAGCAAGGACATGTCTAAGAATGTTGCAGGCTACTTGGTGCGCTGGGTGTGCCATTGTAAGGCAAACCACGAACGTTTTCTTGTGAGCTTGTTTAGGTGTGTTCTACGTGGCAAAAGTGTAGTGTTGTGTTAAGGGTTGTTAGGAGGCGTACCACCCTATTTCATGGGGCGGTCCGCCTCTGTATTGCATATACTAACTGGAGCGTTGAGCCCTGCTGCTGTTGCTGATCATAGGGTGGCTTGTCGCCGAGGCCAATTGTGCCCTAAGGCAATATACTGCATTAATTCTCCTAAATAAGTTCAAAAAGAACGTTCTGTGTTAAAAGCAGTTTCCATATGCAAAACTGTCGTTTGTATTAGTAAGCTGCAGTAGTCGCACTAGATTAATTTGCAGGCTGCAGCTGCCCTCCTAGGTCAAGTACAAGATAATCAGTCCGTGTTTGCTTGATTCTTGTTTTCGAAGTGTCGTGGAGGTGTGCATCGTGCTTCATGCTTTTACGAAGTCGCCGAACCATGCCAACATTCCGAGCAGGTAGGCTTCGTCCTTTGGCATGTTCATCGGATGGCATTTCTGTGAGGTGTCGGAAAAAGAAACGTTGTAAACGTTATTGCACGTAGTCAAATCAGGGCGGAAGCAGGCAGACAACGTTCGTGAGCTGTAACTAAGTTTAAGCTCACACGCAGGTTCCTGCTTTCACGATACAACGATGATTTCTCCGCAGGTAAAACTTTGGTCCTTGTACGGTCACGTATCGTGAAAGACCATTGTCGTGATACTAAAGCTGAACTCCAGACACAGCAAATACCGCATGAAACGGAGCTAGAGAATCGCACATGCGACTATGACATTGTTTCTTTCCTGGCTGTAAAATGAAACACCGTATGGCAATCTTATCGAAAGATAACACATTTATATACTTCCGACAAAATTGTCTTCTCTGGCAGGGAAAAGGAATGTTGCGGAATCAGAGTAGTCAAGTAAGAGCGTAGGAAATTGCACAACGCTATTCGCGTGTACTTGAAATGTGGTATCGGAGAATAGAATTCTTCGTTCAGAAGCGCACAAATTGGTAAAAGACAAAAGATGGGAACAGGAGAAGCGCTGGTCTTGTTCTTTTCTTTGGTGTTCTATAAATTTGTGGGCTACCCAATGATGAATAAATTTCCACTCGCTCGCCTTTCAGTCCAAAAAAAAGGAGGGGGGGGAACCTCGTGCTCCTTCTTTGAGAGTTGAACGCGATAGTGATTTCCTGTTCATTGTGCATACTTGAAACATAAGTGCACCAAATCTTTTTCGAACTTGCTATGTACTCAGTATACGTGGCATTAAGGAAACAGGTGCAGTAACGTGTGTGCCTTCAATATGAATGTATTTGCTTATTTCATTCCTTTTGTCGTTCTCTCTCTCTCTCTCTCTCTCTTTACTTAGCAGCTTTCACCATTTTCGTTTCGGCGAATACGAAGCCGTCTAATGTGCTAGGTGCGTTGAATTTTTTCTTAGAAACCAAATGCACTGTCAGGAGCTAAGCGAAATGTGCGTTAGCTCCGCACATGCCGTCTCTCTGATATTTCCAAAAAGAAAGTTGTCCCATGGTTGCAGCAATGTGCGGGTTCGGATTTTTGATTCTAACTGTTCGTAAAAGCCGTTTTTGCGTTTATATCATTTTCACTGAGCATTGTCACTCTCCAGAGTCATGGGCTCTGAGTGATGTTCCGTTGAAACGTACTCTCCAAAATAAAACAGGCACAATTAGTCAAATGACAGTTCGTCTTATCATACACTCACCGTCGTTGTGACACAATCCAGCGCAGAGCTGTCCTGCGCGGAAAATAGGACCCGCTAGCCGTATACCAGCTATGTTAGACTGATATGACGGCAGTCAAGTGCGCCAGAAGACATACACTAAATATACAGTTTTTTTGTGCTATTGGTACACATCGCAATCGAGCGCTAAAATACCATATATTGAAAATATACGGCTGCTTAAGATTGTTGTCGCTAGTAAAGCCTCGTTTTCGTTGATGTTTTCGAGTGGAAAAACACATCAATGCAAGTCGTGACATCATCTTTTTGCACGGCTGTGTTTCCTCCATCTTTTAAAAGAAAGATTTATTAACAATATCTAGAGTTAACTTCCCAAAACCACGATATGATTAAGAGCCACGCGGCAGCGTGGAACCATGGAATCGCGACTACACTAAAGATACACTTCTCTGACGCACACTACAATAGCGTAACACACGGGCCTCTAGTATTCTGTCTCTATTCAAATGTGAACGCCATGGCCGGGATTGATTCTGCGGCATTTGGGTAATTAAGTACCGTAACTTAATTGAGTACCGTAACTGTCACACCGACGCCGTGGCCTGTCAGAAGCATTGATACATCAACACTTATTTGCATGCTAGCAGCACTTGCGTAAACACGTGTGTGTGAGCGATGTCTAAATATAAAATAATGTATTGTGAGTTTTAATGCTGTATCAATAGTAACATCGAGCAAGTATGATAGGAATAACCAATTTTTCATCGCAACGTTTAGTTATCTTAGGCAATGCTGCGTTGTGCAAGTTTTGTGCCATACACGAAAAACAACAACGAAAATTTCTGGCTGATGATACCACAATTAAGATCGGATTACCAAGGGCTGACTGCAAGCTTACCTGCGTTTCGTCGATAATAGTGCTGATTTTGACCTGGTAGCCTGTAGCCATGGTCTGTGAAGTAACAAGAGGTGGCCTGCATGTGAATTTCTTTATACAGTGTGAGACTTCGTCGTCTATAGCATAAAACGCACTTAACTAAAGCGTTAAGCGTGTTATCCCTTGCTCCGTTGAACGATATCAATGTGGTTTTCATTGCACAGGAATACAACGGTTGCAATTGGTGAGCTAAGAGCCGCAGTACAAGTTGGATTTTTTTTTTAACGAATGGTCGATCTATATCATATGTGTATACAGGGCGTCCCAATTATCACGCAGCCCGACTTAAAAAAAAAGAAGGAATGGCGTTACGTGACGCAAAGCTAGTGCATGTTGTTCCCTTTGTACTGTGGTAGCCGCTGCTAGTTTTTTTGTTAGTGACAATTAATTTATTACTCATAATCATATTTTAGCTCAGAAAGTAGTCGCCGAATTATCAAAATGCCAATGAGTCGAATGTACGCATGTGGAAATGACACCTGTCTGTGCTACTTTCAATAACATACTGATTGCGTGCTCATTTTCCTGTTAATAAAGAAAGCCACGTCACGTGTGTACCCTGTCACGTGTCATCTTTCGAAATACGAAAGATGACACGTGACAGGACTGCTGCGCTTATCAAAGAGAAGCGCCCTCAAACAAGCTCACTTTGAGATAACCAGTATCAATGTAGGAAATGTAAAAAGAAAAAAGAAAGACGGATCGCGTTATCTGCCGCTACTAGTTCGGAGAAATTCACCGCCTTGATCATACAGTCGGGCTGTAATCACTTTAATCAGAACAGTGATCTGGCTGTAAAACAGTTGAGCAGTTGACCATGAGATGTCGATGGTGATAGCGACGTACAATCAAGCTGTGGGAATTCCTGCTAAAGTGCAACACATGTTGTTGCCAAACGCTGTCTCTGGCAACGGGAAAGAGGCTACGCGGTTTCTTCCAGTAAGATCATTTGAGAGCGCTGCTCTTTTTTTTTTTTTTTTTGCGGGTGTGGACGAAGTCACGTGTTATTTTACATACTCAATGGGCTTTTTTTTTATTCACAGAAAAAAAAGAGCAGGTAATTTCTACATTTTTGGAAGTAGCACAGAAAGATGCAATTTCAAAATGTGCACACCTGCCTCATTGAAATTTTGATAATTAGGCGAGTTCTTTTTGAGTTACAGATATATTTGGACTAATTAGTTAATAGTCATCAACAAAACGAATAGTAGCGGATATATACCGGGAAGAATACGCTCTATAGGTTTTTTCGCGTAACACCGTTCGTCTTTCTTTAAACCGTGCTGCGAGATAATTAGCGCGCCCTGTGTGATTGAGGCGCGACATGTAACGAATATGTTATTGGTTTGATTTCGGTCGTTCGGCTTTCTATCACGATGTTAGCAGCGTAACTTGAGACGCATGGCATGAGAATTTCGGAAGACGAAATAAGCCTATTCAATGTGTTTGTTCAAAATGGCGTTAGGCAGAAGCAATACGCAGTTCATGAAAGAAAAAACAACACAAAAAAAAGTGATTAGAAGCTTACTATAGACGTCGTCTCCATTCCTTGAATAAGCTTCTTAAGGCAGTTGAGAAAAGCAGGGTAAAATTGGTCGCTTTCCTAGATGAAGATGTCAAGTTTTCTTGAATTGGACAAGCTCTATGAACATGCACTACTTGGTCTATCTCGTCCTTACTTTGAGGTCGTCCGCGTATGCGTAGCAGATACGGATGGCAACGCACACCCTTTTTAACTCCTGCAAGGAAGCATTTAAAGGTACATTTGCATGTCTCAGATGTTCTGGTAAACCTCCATCAGAAGTGAATCAATGATGTTAGCTTACAACGAAAACTTCTCTTTGAAACTAAATCAAGTGACAAATAGGCAAGTTGTCTGATAAAACCGTACACAGTAAACCGATTCTGACCCTTAAGGGTGCAAAAAGGGTGCCGACACCCTAAGCACACCCTTTGAGCACCCCATTCGCGTCTCAGCACCCTACAAGCGGAACCTAAAGGGTGAACACATCAAAAGGGTGGAAACTAGGGTGCAAAAAGGGTGCAACAACTAATGGGTGCTGATGAGCACCCATTAGGGTGCACAGTCGCCGACAAAGCTTTGTGAGTAACGTGGTCATAGAGCATAACCAACAGCTTTTAGATGTCTAGTGGTTAGACACCATGGTCTCATTAATAGCCCCACCGCAGTAACTGATATCTGAATAGCGATAGTGCCCGGCGGAACGTAAGTTCTGCACTGGTTCTTGCATTCTTGCTGCCTCTTTCTCGTCGCCTCACGGCCGGCGCTGACCAAGCCATGCGCTACAAGCTCACTAGCCAATGGCGGAGTACGCAGCTTGTAGAGCTACAACAGGATTGTGACTTACACATAGCCTCGTTTGCGCCTAACACTGAAAACAAAGCTTCGTCCATGACAGTATATATAAATCATACATTTGTTGATGCAAAGAAATACAAACCAACAAGACCGTGGTAGATAAAACGGTTTTCGTGTTGTACAAATATTTGTTAACCTTGCAATTTATCAGTTGACACGTGTTACCAATTTTTATGGCGGGCTATGGACTTAGACGTTCTAATATTATAACATTAAAGAAACGTTTTCTTGATTTTGTTCATAAAAATATTCTTCAAAGCAAGTTAAAATGAGCCTTGACTAAAACATTTTCCTAAAGAAAATTCACTAAAGACAGCTAAAATATTGTTTGCCAACTAATACGCTTATTTTGATGTGACAAATTTTGCTTGCTGCCTGTACTTTGTACAAATATACAACCGCTTTGACACTGTTTTTAACAGCCAGCTTAACCACTCAACCAATGTACAGATGTTAACAAGGTATCGGTATAAGAAATACACAAGCAAGCAAACGTTTCAAATTTCGCGCGCTCTTTCACATTTCAAATTTCGCGCAATTACGCGTAGTGTGATTTTGTCATTTTCAAAGGTAAAAAGTATTCTATGCAATACGCACTAGCGTATCTTCTATTTTCACTATTTTTTACTTAAAATTTAAGCAGAAATAATCTATTTACTTATCATATAAAAGTTATGTGCGCAAATGCGGATGGGTGGCGTCAGCAGGACAAAAATGGCGGTATCTTCCTGGAGGCCGCAACGGCCGTGTGCCGAGCGTTTAAAGTCGATTTTTTTATGTTGTTCAAAGTGTGCTTGCGCTGTCTTTCGTGTTCTGTCGGTGCTGCTTGTTACGAAGATGCACTATACTCAAGAGAGGACCGGCTGCTTTGTACCGTCGAGCGCTCGCCAAACTAAAAAGGTAGGTGGATGTTTCTGCTGTCGACGCTTTGTTTTTTGCTTCTCCGGCCAGGCCGCGGCGTGCCCGGTCCAGGCTGTTATGCTCCTCCCGCGGTTAACACCGAAAGCGCTATAGTATAATAACGTTGTGAACTAAGGTTTTTCTAGCTGGTAGACGATAAATGAGTTTTTATTAACGTAGCGAGCCTGCTGGCGTGTCTGATTTCATTAGGCTCAAGTCTAAGCTCAGGGACGTTACGCGCGGATGAATTTTTTTTGTGGGGAAGGAGGTTAAAGCAATGTGCGCTGTGATGCTGTAAGTCGGCGGGCGATGCTCTTCACGCTATGAATCACTATATTTTTGCAATGCCGTCGGACGCCGTTCGGGGACGGCGCATGGAAGCCGTAAGCGTCGTCTGTGTGTCGCGTGCGTTGGAGTATTCCGGTGATTCGCGTTGAATTAGATCTTTCCGTATTTAATTTAGAAGAATGGAGAAGAATAACGTGGTTTCCGCGTTGGTATTTACGCGGCCTTGTTCGTTTTCTGTGCCAAAGAAGTATATAAAGAAAGTTTTATATGTTACTCGTCCTCTTTTCAACAGCTACATGATCATTAAATGTGTGTGACTACTATAAGGTAGATGTGTTTTCCTGTGTGACCAAATGTGTTTGCATCCACCGGGCACGTATAATATTAAATTACCATGATATTCAGCTTAATTAAGTGTGCGTAAACTTGACACAGCGTGCTGTAGGTGCGGTTTTCAAAGCGTGCAATTACACCTGGGTCAATACATTTTCTCTATGAGTGGCCGAATAGCCGTACCTTAGCTGTGCAAGCGCTAGGTTGAGCAGTAGTTCACTCGTTCGAGTGCAATTTTGGTGGTACTGCTTGTTCCCCCCTGCTCACATAACATTGCATTCTTCTGGTTTGTAAAAGAATTGTGGGCGCTGCAGCCAGCTTTAGAGTTAAAAACTTTGCCGAATACCTATACGTCTACAAACATTCTAAAACTAAGTTATACCAAAACTTCCAATGACACTTTCGAATACAAGTGTAATGCTTTATCTGATATTATAAATTCTTTATGACCTCGCTGCAGATTTACAAGTGACCTGTGATATGTGCAGTGTATGAATGCCGAATTTATTGCTCAAAACACAATAAGGTTATACATCACAGTATGCGTGCATATGTTGCTGCTGACATGCAAACTTAGACATTGTATTTATCTAAGAATGAACAAATCTAAACTGCCGTTTTTTGAAGATGTACGCATCAGACCAATTGAATAATATCAAAAATAATGTTCACAAAGTGATTGTTGTTTACTGCCTTGCACCAACGTCACTAAAACTGCCTTGTTGGTACTTAGACCACATGGTAGGATGCAAGATTCACGACATCATATTGAATGTTAATGTCACATGATATGCAAGGTAAATTGATATTAGCATACAGAGGCCAATAACGTTATTGTCTCATCGTTATCATAATGAAGCAGGTTAGGCAATATGTGATTCTGCTGCCTTTATGTCATGTTGGGAAACCATTACGTTATGTAGCTATCTGCAGTGTCTGAGATCCTGGTTGCTGGTCAATATTGCAGAAGCTTGCCTGCTTCATTGTGATGGCATGGGGTTCAAGATTGATGTTTTGTCTTAGCGTATCCACTTTTCCTCCCCTATGGTCATTAGACAGCTTGTGCTGTTTGATTAGAAGTGAGGAGTAGTGCCTTTTTAGCCAACCAGAACAATTTAGATCAATGATCACTATGAAGCAGCACACAATATTCATTTAGTGAACTCAATTTCAGGCAAATTATAAACGTCCGAATGTTAGCCGTTTGAAGGAAGCTTTATTCGTTGAACTCATGAGAATAAATGGTAGAGAAGGAAAGGCAGGGAGGTTAGCCAGACCAGCAAAGACGGTCTATCACCCTACACGGGGGAACAGGGAGATTGAAGTCCTGTCGGAGTGGCCTGGTCGCTAAGGTACTCGGTTTCTAACCCGAAGGTCGCAGGATGATATTCCGGCCTTGCTGGCTGCTTTTTCGATAAAGGTGAAAATGCTGTAGGCCTGTGTTCTCAGATTTGTGTGCACGTTAAAGAACCCCAGGTGGTCGAAATTTCTGGAGCCCTCCACTACCTTGGTAAAAAATTCATGTGTCAGTATTGCTTTAATTTTATCCTTTATCTGCAGTGGATGCATATGCGCATATGGACATGTATATGTAGTGGTATTGCAATTTTACGGAATAAAATATTCATATGGTGCATATTGCATGGCATTTACTTAAGAAACACATCACATGGGTATCATAACTACAGAAATGCAAGTGTGCCTCTATAGATGCACTGGTGCATATATTTGGTCAGCTTCAAGAAAAGAATTTATCGATTGCAGGCAACAGCATTACTCACGCATGCTTATCTCTTAATTACGTGCAGTCGATACAGCTAAAAGGGGGTGTCTTCATCTAAAAGTACCAACTTCATCTTCGTGCATGAGTGAGCTATAAAGGTGAATGAAAATTCACATGTATGACATCGACATGAAAAGCTCTGCAGCAGCATGTTTTTTGTTGTATTTATACTGCAGCATGCCCTTTTTGTATTTCTCAGTTGCGTGCCACCAAATATATGTTGGCCATGCGTTTCTAGCCATTCACTGCAATTCGGCAAGCAGCGCATGCAGTCTAGACAAACCTCACTAAAATAATTTTTTTGCACTGGTGCAGAAATTCTTCGGCACGGTCTGTCATTTCATTTGAGTGAGGCTGCTCAAGGAAATTTTCTGACAAGGTCAAGGAGCCCAAGCACCAGCGAACTCTGAACCATTGTTTCAAGCATCAGCTCTGTTCAACCTGCTTATGCGCTGTGGCTCACCAAGCTACTGGACGCTGCCTACTTATATGAAGTGCTCTTCATATTCTCCTCAGTTTGGCAGCAGTGTGTGTGGTCTTCACAGTGCTTGCCAAAATTATTTTTGCACAGGTGAGACACTTATTTCCTGCTTTAATTGTGTTAGTATTACTGCATGCACTCCTGGCAAGCAAGAGTAGTAATGTTTCCTGTGAATTGTTTGTCATGGTAAACAGAGGATTTCAAGCACAAAATTCATACTGAACTTAGGTCCTTCAAGAAGTGTGGAATGAAGGTGGTGACAGTGTCAACGCGCTCTCTTTAGAAATAAAGGCTTTGCATGAAAAGCCTGTCGCACCTTGAAACAGGCAAAAAAAACTTCCAGGTGAAAATAAGCAACTTCAGATGAAAATAGAAGAATTTACACTGTATTCAAGGTTGAACTATCCGACATCAAAGGCGTCTCAGATGAGGGTTTTCTTTTGACGCTGTCCGAAATTTTT